GCGCATTGCCTTTAGATCCATATCAGTTCGGCGCATAGAAGCACGTAACTCCTCCAATTCGTCTTATCGCACGCGTAGTGCGCCTCTTCGGATTTTGGCGGCGCGCTGCCTTCCCCATTGGAGATGTTCCTCCTCTTCAGCGATTCGCTGTCTCTCACAGCGGAGACGTTCTTCCTCTTCGGCGAGCTCGAAGGCGTACTGCTTGTCTTCTGGGTAATAGGTCTGTCTCGCGGCTTGCTCAGGTTCGTTGTGCTCTTCAGAGTCGTCCTCTTTGGCGTCATCCTCAAGATCGACCACTGACACAGGCTTGCCAGCTGATGCCGAACCGCCATGTAGTGCTAATTTGCTGGCCAATGCCGAACCGCCATGCTATGTGGGGCCTCCCGCCGATGCAGAACCGGCAGATATTGCTTTGCCTTTGTTGATGTCTCGTCCTCCGCTTCTGGGAGTCGGTTCGGAGTTTAGATCGATCGGATGTCGGCGACGAGCTCTTTGAGCCTCTGAAGGCGTGGAGAAGTTAAGCGTTGTCGGGGCGATACGGTCCGTGACTTGGTGTGCGAATCCTGTCACTTTTCTGTGGCTTGCCGCGGTTAGGGAATCCATTCGGCTCTTTATTGTGCTATTGAAGGTGTCCTGTTCCCTTGTCTTCCGAAGAATTTCCTCGAACATTCCCTTTATCTGCGTTATCTCCGTGGCGAGCTGTGATAGTTTCTCTGCGGGCTTGTCCCCTGTGGTGTTGTTTCCTCCGGGCGCGTTCGCGTTGGTTTCAGGATCGGTGATGACTTTGGGTGCATTCGCGTTTGTTTCATAATCCTTAGCTGCGGATCCATCCTTGGCGAGTTGTTGAGGATTGTTGTCGCTATTGTCTCCCTTGAGAGTCATCTCTTTCGATCTCGGCGTGCTGGTGCTTTTTGAGTAAGAAGCTTTACGTCCCCTTAGACGGCTCCAAATTGTGGCGGTCGAATCTCACAATTATAATCTAAGTAACTTGTTAGGGTTTGTAAAGTTCTGTGAAAGACACCAAGCGCAAAGATCTCAAGAGAGTTTTTATTATTAAGCTGTAGAAAGTTGNTGCAGAGTACAAGTATTTGTCTAGAGAATTTCTCTTCCCCATTTTGGGTGAGAATGAAGAGCTATATATAGTGAAATATCTAAATGGGCCAGCTAATAAAATGGACCTGGCCCATTAAGCAATAAATCTAATTTAGGCCCATTATTCTATTAAGCCCATTTTGTTTATGGGCTTAATGTCATTTTGGACCTAGATTCAGGCTGGGCCTTTGTAGACTTGTTGTGATTTCGTNAAGACATTGCGGAGTTGATTTCGTCGCTATATCGATCTCACAGGGTGAAATCTGACCCCTACAGAAAATATGTTCTGAAGCAGCTCCATGATTTCCCTTGCTATGTTCCAAGATTTACTTGATATATTTTTTCCTACGTCTTCTTGCATCAAGTGTATTATTGGTCGTCTTCTTGCATTATGGGAATGATAAAGAAGATTGCAGAAGAAGTGTCATGAGTTTTTCACCAATTAATATTGGTATGTTCCGTCTCAAGTAACTTCTTTTCGTTTTTTGATATATTGGGTGAGTTGTGACTAATCTAATGTTACTTTCATTCTGTAGGATGAGAGAGTAGAAGTAAAAAGTGGTACGCATGGTCTGAGACAACTCGACATTGCTACTGCAAGCTTGATTTGTTTGTTGCAAATATCATTAGACTTAAGTAAAAAGTGACGTTTAGTGCACAACATATTATATGTACACAATATTCTCACATTCTGAGATTTTTTTTTTGGTTATATGTATAAATGTTTTAATAATTTTGTTCATGAAAGTGAGAATATTGTGTACCAATGAACATGTGTAGCTTTAAAAATATTTATAATTGATGAAGAGAAAAAATAAGGGTAGAAATTGGACAAAGAAAACCCAATATTTTCATTCTCTTGATCTTCATAAAATTTGTAGATCGGAAGAGGGTTATTTTGACCGGTGGGGATAAAGAGAAGAGTATAATAAATTTCAAATGATTAGAGATACAACAAATAGTGAGGATTCTTAAAAAATAAAATTGTTGTCGACGAAGCCTTTGATTTATTATGTGTTTTTTTTTATGTTTGATGTTAACTCTGCTCTCCATTCTTATCACACATTATATAGCTTTCCAATATATATTAAGCATGAATAATTTTTTTTTTAAGGAACAAAAGATGCCAGAACAACTAATTTATAACACTTGTGTAGAAAACCGTTTAATGCCTAATAATTTTCTCTATTGACATGTACATGATACATGGCGTCGCTTAATTTCCTACCAAATCTCTATACACGTGAAGGCTCTCTGCTGCTCCATCACCAATCTTAGCATTACCTTTGTAGGTTCCAAGAGTGGCTTCTGAGTTAGCCTTGCACCTCACGTACAACGCCTCTTGAGCCGCCTTCGCATTTTCCTCTTTGCATGACCATGTCTTCAATGTGCTCTTTTGCAATGCACATCCGAACGAGAAAGACAATGACCATGGCTTCTTCGTCTTCAATTGGTTCATGCGTTCAAGTTTTTCGTCGCGTCTTCCTCGCTCTGTCCTCCTGACAAGAACACGATAGCTGGAACAGCTGCTGGGACGGTGTGATCAGCAATGATTTCGGGTGAAACCTTGGTACTGTCTGATCCAGGTGTGACCATGTAAGGCTCCAAAACTTGGATTAGGCCAACTGAAGTAATTTACCGTACATAACGGTATGAACTTCTCACCTTCAACGTGAAGTGAATTAACATATGTAAACTTGAAGTGAATTAACATATGTAAACTTTTTGAACAATAACCTTAAATTACTTCAATTATTGTAGTGTGTAGGGGTATAGCATATAGTACCCAAATTTCTTTATCGTTATACCTGATGTAGATCAAAATATATCTACAACGTAATATATAGGGTGTAATTAAAATAATGATATAGTTAATCATAAAATTTCTTTGGGTCTCATGGTAATTATATAATTATAATCATGTGCAACACAAATTTTTTTAATATAAAGTAACACAAAGAAAATCATTACTCTCTCACGGCCTTTAAAAGATGTTACAACATAAGTGAGTCTCCTAATAATTCAAGACATTTCAAACTAACTCTACAATCAAATAAA